GCAGCACTTTTCTGCTTCCCTTAAAACACATTCCTCTACACACATAACTAATAACATGTAACATTTCTCATTTTGATGAATTGATAAAAGAATGCGACTGTGAAGGTCGAAGGTCTCGTGTGTTTTTTTACTTACCCTGAGTTCTGTCGTCATCTGCCATACCAATGCAACGTCTTTGATTCATCCCTTGTCCAAGCACGACGAGGAAGAACAATGATACTTTCATTTTCTTTATCGAATTTGGTGATCGAAAAAAACAACAACAACACCAATACAGCGTGGGGCACAAGTAAGAAAAGAACACACTTTCCAGAAATACTGTTGTGATATATCCTCTTTCAATGGCTCGCACCAGACTTCTTGTTAGTCACACCTATACTTTATTTACACTGTGTACAAAATACACACTTCTATACAGTTCAAACATTTTTTAAAATCCCGTTTTGGATGGAAAAAAGTTAATTACATAAAATTTAGAAAATTATTAAATATGTAGTGACAAATAAATAACCTAAAAATAGTTTATAGAGAACGCTTATGACTGTCTCTCAAAAATGTGAACAGCAAGATATGTGCGTGACAACAGATCCTGAGAATTGTGAGCGTGTCTAGCTTTCCCCCCTAAATTTATTGAAAGCATTAGCAAGTGCTGTTCGGGGGTGGGTGTCACGCCATGGGTTAGTCAACAACCCTGTCCCAACATGCACTTGTCGCTTTTATGCATAATTGTCAAGGGACGCCGTGGGTGTCTTTAATCGAATCAGCGTCATGATTGGAGCTTTAAAGTTAAATCATGGGCCATCTGCTGGGGTGCTTACCAATAGAACTGATAGTCTTACGGAAGAACTTACTGAATGTAATCATTTTCCATAACTTTTTTTTACCATTGCTAATATATATATATATATATATATATNTATATATAACAATGAGCTAGAGTCACATAACGCCAAAAGGGAGATACTTTTTAAGTACGTTCGGATTCCTAAAAACAATCATAGTTATTTTCTATTATTTTAAGGAAATCGAATAATTTAAATGCGCAAAAAAATATTTTAAATCCGCTTTATTTTAGTAAACCTTTAAGTATTATTATTATAAATTACAAATAAATTTAAAGTATCAACTAAGGAACTATTTTAAGCATTTTATATGTGTTTGAAAAGTATGAAAAAGTAAAAAAAATAATTAAAAACATGCTTTAAGAATTACACCGTAATCACATTTATCGGGAAAACCCAGACATCAGTAGTTTTTAGTGCGTCTTTTAGTGCTTCTTTTAGTGCGTCTTTTAGTGCGTTGTTAATATTGCGAAATAAAATTCAAATTAATTTGTTCTCAATAATCACGCTAATGACGTCATAGCGTAAATAGCCTATATTGCCAAAACTCTTAGTTTTTTTTTTAAATTTAATAACCGTGCGTGACAAAACTGATAATGTATTTTCCCTTTTAAAAGTAAACTTAATAAATACAATTGATTGCTTTTTGAACTTTTAATAAAACACACACACAATTTAGCTTTGAATATTTTAACATTTACAAAGTTTTGCCTTTTTTTATTCCAAAAATATAATTTTATTAAAATTATAACCTAATAAAATCTAACCTTTAAATATAATTCTAAAAAGAAAATGCGGTTTAAGCCAATCAGTGCAGCCCACTTCCATAGCCAAATAGCATTCACTAATCCACTTATAACTCATACAAATAAGAACGAACCATATGAAGTGCAAAATATGTTAGTTTGGGTATGGAAAGGACTACAATCCAGTGGAAGATTTTCTAAATTTGTTAAAATCTGGGTGGGGAGGGGTTGTTCACTTTGCCCCAGGCAGCACAAGATACGTCTCAAAATAAAGGAATGAAATGGATGAATAATTAACCCTCTTTGGTATATACATATAGGAGGTAGGATATAGGATGTGGACATTTTTACGTGGATGACAATATATTTAAATCCTATGGTAGTACATTTTTGAAAAAAGAGATGCCACATTATCTTTTTACAAATATTTATTAATATGTATAAGTTCATTTTGCTCAAGGCAGCACAAGATACGTCTCAAAATAAAGGAGTGAATTTGATAAATAATTCACCTTCTTGGGTACATACATATCGGAGGTAGGTAATAGGATGTGTACATTTTCACGTGGATGAAAATATATTTAAATCCTATGGTATTACATTTGTGAAAAAGAGATGTTGCATTCTCTTTTTACAAATATGTATAAGTTCAATTCACACAAGACAGCACAATAAAATAAAGGTTTAAATTTGATAAATAATTATTAACCTTCTTAGGTAAATACATGTCGGAGGTAGGAAATAAGATGTCTACATGTTTACGTGGATGACAATATAGTTAGCTCCTATGGGATTTTATTTATGAAAAAAGATGTCACATAATCTTTTTACAAAAATGGGTAATTTCATTTTGCCCATGGGTACATTCATATTGGTAGTAGGAAAAAGGATGTGTACGTTTTTACGTGGATGACAATATATTTAAATCTTATGGTATTACTTTTGTGAAAGAAGAGATGTTTAATTCTCTTTTTACAGATAAACATATGTTTGCCAATTAAGGAAATCAATGGCGTTAACAAATCTTGGGTACATTTATATAAGCATACCCTTAAATATCAAAACTTTAAAAAGTAATTTTGAAAAATGGAGATGGGTTAATATTTACTTTCGAAAAATGAAAATATAATTATGTTTTTACTTTGCAAAAAGTAAAGAGTCGTGCATTTTTATGAGATGAAGAATTTAAATTTTTAAAAAAGATACTCAAGTCTGTTTTAGGCGTGAAAAATGGTTGTGAGATTCTTCTTTAGATAAAATAATTCTTTGTTTTACGAGTCTCTGATAATTTATAATTTTTTTTTAAAAGGCATAAACATGTTTACATTTTTTATGAAGATATCAATATATATTGAATTCCTGTCATATAAAATATATTAATATCATATATATAGTTTTTGTTTTAAATTTAAGATTATTTTTTAAAAACAATTTTTAGAGAAAAAAGTTGTAATCCAAGAGCACGAAAAGGGATAAATCTAAAGTATTTCTCTAGCGTAGTACTTGTCCCTCAATTAACTTCTTTAGGGACAAAAGTGATATGGGTAGTGATAAGTTAGACTGGGTTTTTTAAGGTCATGTTTAGCGGGGGAAAAGTAGTTTAGGAGCGTGAAAGGGAGTAAGGTAGGCTTATATAATATTATATGGCCAGTGTTCTCATACGCATCTACCACAGCGCAGACTGCGACACAGATAATTCCTTAGTGGCTAGCAAGATAAGGTTACTGCCAAAGAAACTGTATCACAACAAAAAAGAAGGGCAAATCACGCATAAGCATCTGCTCCACTAAAAATCCAGTGAGAACTGAAGAATACACCCATAGCGTACAAGAAGCTCTTGTACAGATGCCACCAATAGACACTACTGAGTCCAAATGGTCATATCTACTCAACTATCAGGGCATCTGGCAGATTGATTCGAGGCTCACTGGCAAGAAATAAAACATGTCACTATCATCCGATAGTGGCAAAATATCGATACCTTGTGTTCACCTTGAGACTTACGGAAAGCGCACTTTTGCATTTGCGGCCAAACATTTTGGAACGCACTTCCAGTCGCTCTCAGACACAGCCAGCCACTGGAGTCCTTTAAAACCGATTTAAAAACACATCTTTTTCGCAAACAAATTCTGGGGTGATGCTATCTACCATCTTTTTCAGTTAATGTATGTTGGCTTGTGTTGCTTATGGTTGAAACGGGATGACAGACTTTGACTTTGTATGCTCGTATGTAGCTTTATATTGTTGCGTCTGTTTTAAAATGGGGTAAATTTTAGATTGTTTTTATTTGTCTTTTTAATATGGTTGACTTTGTACCGCGCTTCGAGCTTTTGGGGATGAAGCGTGTTTTTCAAATAAACTTTATTATTATTATTATTATCTGTAAAAAAAGAGATGTTGCATTCGCTTTTTACAAATAAACATTTTTTTACTAATATTTAAGAAAAGCGATGGCGTTAAAAAAAACGTGGGTAAATTTACGTAAGTATACCCGTGAATATTAAACAACAATAATATTACACTCTTTGAAATGGAGGTGGGTTAATATTTAATTTGTCAATCAAAAAATGAAAATATATTGCTGTCTTTACTTTGCGAAAAGTAAAGTGGGTGTGTGTATTTTGATGAGATTAACAACGTAAAAAAAGACACTCAAGTCTGTTATAGACGCGAAAAACTTTTGCGACATAAAAGATTTCTTTGATTTCCGATTTTCCGATCATGTCTTATTGGAAAAAAAAAAAAAAAACAATTCAAAAGTTTATTTAAATTTCTGATGGTGATGTCAATATATCAAATTCCGTTTATTTAAAATACATTTTTATGTCAGAGTTTTTATTGTAAATTAAAGTAGAAAAAATTGTAGTTCAAGGGAACAAAAATAGGGGGTTGGGTAGACTTACCATATAACAATTTAAAAAAAACACATGACATCTGAAGCATTTCTCTAACGTTAAAATCTTCTCTCAGTGAACTTCTTTAGTGACAATAACAATTTAATTAGTGATAATAAAGATTTGGTAATTTAAGGTCATGTTTAGAGAAAAAAAATGCAGTTTAGAAGTGTGAAAGAGGGTAGGGTAGGCGAATTAAATAAATACTTCTCAAAACTTAATGTTATTAGAAATGTAAATATCTTTACATAGATACTTCTTTTTAAAGTTAGGAATTGTGATGAGTTTTTGCAAAAGCAGGTATAAATTATTGCACAGGACCTAGCATTTTTATCCCGATAACATCTGGTCATATATTCTATTGTATATATATATATATATATATATATATATATATCAAATATTTTTTTTAAAATGTTGAAAAAATTGTTTTCGTTCAATGCGCACCATTTCTTTGTCTTTTTGATGAACCGGTTTGTTTGTTAGGAATATGCCATTGTTTTTGGTCAGCGCTTAATGAACGGAACAAAGAATTCCTGTTTCAAGGCCATGCAATTATTTAGTCCTCAATTTCTTTAAATTAACAGAGTTAGAACACAGAGACAAGGACAACGATCTATCCCTCCCTCAGACTGAAAGCTATGTCTCATGATTTATAAACTAAGATAATTAAAAGAAATAAATGTATATAATCAATTAAAAAGATTTAGTTTTTAAACATCCTGGCCATGTCACCAAGACCAAGGACATCGAACTTCTTCTTGTCTGCGATTCAGTTTGAAAGTTGGAGGCTGTAATTTTGTAAATACATAAAGTAAACTTTTTATCATCTTCATTTCAGAAGGTAATTAAACGTTTATCATTAAGTTAGCTCAGTAGTGCTGCCCTACCCTTTTTGTAAATATCATAAGTAAATTATTGGTAATCCTTATTTCAATAGGAATGTAAACCTGTTTCATGAGCTTTTTGAATTCGTGGGCTAAACATTTTTTCACGTGAAGTCGGGGGCCGTGCAGGAAATCTCGAAAAAAAAATATATTGATAAAATACCTACCTCATTTTAAAAACTATTCATATTATTAATACTTGTTACCCTATGCAAAAAGAAACAAGAATCCAATTTTGATATGGGCCTTGTAAATAATCATATATCCAATAACAATATCCGCTCGTCAATAATCCTATATCCAATAACAATATCCGCTCGTCAATAATCCTATATCCAATAACAATATCCGCTCGTCAATAATCCTATATCAAATAACAATATCCGCTCGTCAATAATCCTATATCGGCTCATCGAGATTAGAAATAAAGAGCAATACAAACCAAAGCACTTCTTTTTTACAGCTCATAACTCCCAGGGTTCACCTATATATATCCTGAAATTTGAACGAAAGAAATTTAGTCGACGGTAAATTCAAAAACGGTAATTTGATCGAACGGAAATTTGGTCGAATCGTTTTTTCAGTTTTGACTTTAAAATTTTGCTTTAAAATTCTTTTTGAACGCATAATTTTCTTTTACTATAGAGTATAGTGCGTTCAAAAAGAAATTTGACAAAAATCTTTACGTGTGTACTGAAAAAAATTTCCGACAAAAATTTCTGTTCGATCAAATATCCGTCGATCAATTTACCATCGATGAAATTTCTTTCGATTAAATTTCCATATATATATATTCGGTAACCATATATTTAATCTAAATTTGTTTTGATGGTGAGATCATGGATAGAAACCTTCTCGATGACCTAATATCTACACATAAAGTTAATTTTGGTTTCCCAATTAATGTTTCTAAACGAAACGTCAGAAATTATACCTGCTACCGCGCGAAGACTCAACTGTACAGGTAGTTGAAGGAAAAAGAACATGGTGCTCAATTTCTTATCAACCCATTATCACGAACAGTTGCACTAGTGATGTGCTTAACATAAACTACAACTACCTGTCAAACAATAACCTGAATATCACGTGTACATCACTAGAAGTGATACATTCTTTAAAGCAGAGAAGAGTAACTTATTAAATGTAAACAAAATGATTTTTAACTTATATTATTTGTTCCCAGATCTTATTTTCCATCAGCAACAGGATCTCTAGGCTAAGAGGCTTTGCTTCCAGTGACAAGGCCCTGAGTCTAAAAGGTTTTGCTTCCTGTGACAGGATCCAGCGTCTAAAGGTTTTGCTTCCAGTGACAAGATCCTGAGTCTAAGAGAGTTTGGTACCATTGACAAGATCCTGAGTCTGAGAGGCTTTGGTTACAGTAACAAGATCCTGAGTCTAAGAGAGTTTGGTTCCAGTAACAAGAACCTGAGTCTTAGAAGTTTTGGTTCCCGTAACAAGATTCTGAGTCTAAGAGGTTTTGCTTGAAGTGACAAGATCCCAGTCTAAGAGAGTTTGGTTCCAGTGAGCTAATCTTTTGCATCCAACAATGCAGAAATTAACTGAACTTGTCGTTTGTCTCGTTGTGATATTTGCCATCAGCAAACAAGGTGAGAGATAATTTAAAACTGTTAACACAAGACCGCTATTATCATAGATTTTGCTCTAACACAAATTTTATTTCTAATAGAGCGAGTGTTGGTCGACCCTTTTTCAGCCCTCATAGTAAGGATGTGGCTTGGAAAAAATATAATTTGATGATGTGTCAGTAAATGTGAGCCAAGAAGTATACCATAATGTCGCTGTCTGTGGTAAAATTAGACGTGATAAAAGTATACGATAATGTGGCTGTCTGTGGTAAAATTAGAAGTGACAAAAGTAATCCATAATTTCGCTGTTTGGTAAGATTAGAAGTGACAAAAAGCATACCACATTGTCTTTGGTAAAATTAGAGGAGACAGAAATTAAACTTAATGTCGCTGTGTGTTATAAAATTTGTTATAAAATTTGAAGTGAGGCCCATTGAACAAAAATATATTTTAAGATAATTGGATTGGAGTGAATTATTTTGTATCGCTCCATCAAAAAAAATTTTTTTTTAAAATTCTTTAATTTTTCTATTACAGGATCAGGATTTGCTCTACCCAGGCAAAGAGCGTTCATAGAGCATGTGGATTACAACAAAAAAAGTTGTGGTTTCGGTTATTTGGCAAATGTTGATTTTATAATTATTACTGGCTTCATCAACGTCTCCGACATAGGACATCCGCCCCAGGAAGGAGAGATCTCTGGACTTCACTTTTCGGGGGATGGTTATGTTCCTGTAAATTAAGTCATTATAATCTCACATGGTCATCTCCTACCAAATCTCGCATTGTCATATCCTACTAAATCTCGCAATGTCATCTCCTACCAAATCTCGCATTGTCATCTTCTACAAAATCTCGCATGGTCATTTAGAATTAAATTCACATTGTCATCTCCTATTAAATCTCACATTGTCATCTCCTATTTAATCTCGCATTGTCATCTTCTGCTAAATCTCACATTGTCATCTCCTACCAAATCTCGCAATGTCATCTCCTACTCAATCTCGCATTGTCATCTCCTATTAAATCTCTGATTGTCATCTCCTTCTCAATCTCGCATTGTCATCTCCTACTAAATCTCACATTGTCATCTCCTACTAAATCTTGCATGGTCATCTGCTACTAAATCTTGCATGGTCATCTCCTACTAAATCTCACAGTGTCATCTCCTACTAAATCTCGTATTGTCATCTCCTACTAAATCTTGCATTGTCATCTCCTACTAAATCTCGTATTGTCATCTGCTACTAAATCTTGCAGGATCATCTCCTACTAAATCTCGTATTGTCATCTGCTACTAAATCTTGCATGGTCATCTCCTACTAAATCTCACAGTGTCATCTCCTATTAAATCTCGTATTGTCATCTCTAACTAAATCTTGCATGGTACCTCCTACTAAATCTCGTATTGTCATCTGCTACTAAATCTCGTATTGTCATCTCCTACTAAGTTTCACATTGTCATCTCCTATTAAATCTCAAATTGTCATCTCCTAATCAATCTCACATTGACATCTCCTACTAAATCTCACATTGTCATCTCCTACTAAATCTCACATTGTCATCTCCTACTAAATCTCACATTGTCATCTCCTATTAAATCTCTGCTTATCATCTCCTACTCAATCTCACATTGTCATCTCCTACTAAATCTCTGATTATCATCTCCTACTCAATCTCACAATGCCATCTCCTATTAAATCTCTGATTGTCATCTTCTACTAATTCTTGCATTGTCATCTCCTGCTAAATCTCACATTGTCATCTCCTACTAAATCTCACATTGTCATCTCCTATTAAATCTCACATTGTCATCTCCTACTAAATCTCACATTGTCATCTCCTACTAAATCTCACATTATCATCTCCTACTAAATCTCACATTGTCATCTTCTACTAAATCTCACATTGTCATCTCCTACTAAATCTCACATTGTCATCTCCTATTAAATCTCTGATTATCATCTCCTACTCAATCTCACATTGTCATCTCCTATTAAATCTCTGATTATCATCTCCTACTAAATCTCCCATTGTCATCTCCTACTAAATCTCACATTGTCATCTCCTACTAAATCTCTGATTATCATCTCCTGCTAAATCTCACATTGGCATCTCCTATTAAATCTCTGATTATCATCTCCTACTCAATCTCACATTGTCATCTCCCATTAAATCTCTGATTATCATCTCCTACTCAATCTCACATTGTCATCTCCTATTAAATCTCTGATTATCATCTCCTACTCAATCTCACATTGTCATCTCCTATTAAATCTCTGATTATCATCTCCTACTAAATCTCCCATTGTCATCTCCTACTAAATCTCACATTGTCATCTCCTACTAAATCTCTGATTATCATCTCCTGCTAAATCTCACATTGGCATCTCCTATTAAATCTCTGATTATCATCTCCTACTCAATCTCACATTGTCATCTCCCATTAAATCTCTGATTATCATCTCCTACTCAATCTCACATTGTCATCTCCTATTAAATCTCTGATTATCATCTCCTACTCAATCTCACATTGTCATCTCCTATTAAATCTCTGATTATCATCTCCTACTAAATCTCCCATTGTCATCTCCTACTAAATCTCACATTGTCATCTCCTACTAAATCTCACATTGTCATCTCCTTCTAAATCTCACATTGTCATCTCCCACTTAATCTCGTATTGTCATCTCCTACTAAATCTCACATTGTCATCTCCTGCTAAATCTCACATTGTCATCTCCTATTAAATCTCTGATTATCATCTCCTACTCAATCTCACATTGTCGTCTCCTAGTAAATCTCTGATTGTCATCTTCTACTCAATCTTGCATTGTCATCTCCTACTAAATCTCACAATGTCATCTCCTTCTAAATCTCACATTGTCATCTCCTACTAAATCTCACATTGTCATCTCCTACTAAATCTCACATTGTCATCTTCTACTAAATCTCACATTGTCATCTCCTACTTAATCTCGTATTTTCATCTGCTATTAAATCTTGCATTGTCATCTCCTACTTAATCTCGTATTGTCATCTTCTATTAAATCTCACATTGTCATCTCCTACTTAATCTCGTATTGTCATCTCCTACTAAATCTTGCATGGTCATCTCCTACTAAATCTCGTATTGTCATCTGCTACTAAATTTCGCATTGTCATCTCCTACTATCTCACGAATTGTCAACTTTCGGGTTTTCCATTTTACTTATCTCCTTTCAGAAGCAGCGTCTGACTTTTAGAAGTCCTCTGCCACATTTCGGTTTCCTGCAATCCCACCCCATATATCTGCATTTAAAAATAAATTTGTTTTTTCTCAAATAATTACAATCTTTGGTCCAATGAAAAGAACGAGACCCATTACAGTCGCAAGGATGCAAGCCCCCCACTTGACGCCCCTGTTTCCGACTCACTTGTTTATTTTAATACTTACCAACAATTTAAACAGTGGGTGTTTCTTTTATAAATAACATAGGGCGCCCGGGCAAAACCTGGATTTAGCAAGGACGGAAATGTTCGACAAGGTTTGAGAACCACCTTTGTTAACAGTTCGAATTCATTTTGGCCCGGAATAAACTTTACAAGTCTTACGTTTACAAATTACGATTAAAATGTTTTTAATCCATTGTTCCCATTTGCATTTCTTGTATTTTGTCCTCCTCATGAACACAACCTTTGGATTGCTCTCAAGTCGAACTGTTGCTGGGATTGTTTCCTCTTTATTCTGATCATCACACCAGTGGTTAAAATGCGGGGGAAAAAATGGAACAAAATTCATTCACATAGATTTCATCATTAGGAAATAAAGCACGTTTTATTACTAGTATTATTATCCTTTTATTATCAACATTTTATTATTATCACTTTATTTTGATTACTTTATTATCATCATTTTATTGTTATCATTTCATTATTATTATCAATGCCATATGAAAATTTAACAAAGGCTTACTTAATATCACTTTCCAGATTCCGGGTACAATATCAGATCTGAGGAAAGTAGCCTGCGCTCAGGTACAGCAACTGCCTCCGAGTTCCTGCCGATGTCTAGCGCGGGACGACAAGATCATTCGTGTCAAGTGCAACATAACAATGAGAGATTATTATTCCTTCAGGCATTTAAAGATAGCTTATCATTCGTATCGTTATTTTGACAGTGGCATTACAGAGCTGCTTCCTAATGTTTACAGTAAGTGGCATTAACCTCAAGTATTTTTTTTTTCAACATTATTATTATTAAAATTGCATTGCTTGAAAACTACCAGGCTTGTTGGGGTCACTACGGTGATTCAACGGTCTTTGTAAAAAAAAAAAAGTGCAAAGAGTGCAAGTTTGAGCTGTGTCAAAGCCTGTGTCTTGAGCAATTTAAATGTGTACCGCCCTACCATTACTCACACTTCCCTTGATTGTGAAAGGTTTTTGAATGTGAAATGGCTATTTATTTTATAGCTTGTTCTAAGGAAAGGATCATGTCATCCAATTCCTAGAATTTCTTCCCTGGAGATATCTAACACCCTACCTGTCAATAAGGCGTCGGTTTTTACAACTGGAAGCGATTTGCTAAATTTCTTAGACACAAGACATCTTAATATACTTATAAGAGCCTTTAAAGGTTATATATTTATTTTTCTTTAAATCCCTCAAGGACTTTTCTTTTTCCTTGCTTCGCTGACGGTAAGATAAATGAAATATTTTCTATGGAAATTTTATTTTGCATTATTACAACTAATCATTCAATAGTTTAATTAAATTCAATATTTTAATATCCATGGATTTGGTTTAGTCTTTAGATTTCATACAGGTTTCAAGTCTTTTATTACGTATGGCTCATAAACGATTCTTCGGATCTTTGCTATAATCCACTCAGTTCCTGGTATGGTTGCTATAATCCACTCAGGTCCTGTGATCATTGCTATAATCCACTCAGGTCCTGTGATCATTGCTATAATCCACTCAGGTCCTGTGATCATTGCTATAATCCACTCGGTTCACGTTATAGTTGCTAAAATCCACTAACTTCCTTTGATCGGTGCTATAATTCACTCAGCTCCTGTAATTGTTGCTATAATCCACTCAGTTCCTGTGATCATATCTAAAGTCCACTCAGTCCCTGTGATCGGTGCTGTAAGCCATTCATTTCCTCTGATTCTTGCTATAATCCACTCAGTACATGTTATCATTGCTATAATCAACTGTGATAGTTGCAGTAATTAAATCAGTCCCTTTGATAGTTGCTATAATTCACTCTTCCTGTGATCGTTGCTATAATTGTAACCATCCATTTAATTGCTGCTATAATCCATTCACACAGCAATCGTCTCAATAATCCACTTAATCTCAGCGACTGTTGCTATTATGCACTAACTTGTAATCTTTGCTATAATCCATTAAGTCACAGTGAACATTACTATCAATGAAACTTTGATCGTTGCTAAATTCCACTCACGCTGTGATCGCTGCTATAATCGCTCAGCTCCTGTGATCTTTGCTATAATCCAATAGTTCCTTTTTATCGTTGCTATAATCCACACAGCCCCTTTTATAGCTGCTATAATCCACTAATTCATCGTGATCGTTGTTATAATATTCTCAGTCTCTGTGATATCAGCTATAATCCACTCAGTTCCTGTAATGGTTGATAAAATCCACCCTGTGATCGCTGCTATAATTCACCGATTCCCTTTGATCGTATCTATAAACCATTCTATCACGGTGATTTTTACTATAATCCACTCTGTCTCTGTGATCATGTTTCTAACACCATTGATAATTATTGTATCCGTTTGTTAAAAAAAACGCATACCCAACTCTTCTTCGTATGTCCTAAGCTTGACTATACATAAGCCATTCAACATCTTCTGAACAATGAATTCTGTAACTGTCCTGGCGTCCCCAACAGTTCGTAGCGAGGGTGTTTGGCGCCAGGGGACAAGATTCGCGCCCGGGGACAAGATCCATTTTTAGCGCCCCTTTATCTTTTTTTTTCAACTCTCAAACCCATTATTTTCATAAATAAAATATTAATCAAAGCACATTTTAGCACCCTTAACTAGCTGGCGCCCGGGGACATCTGTCCCCCCTGCCCCCAACACGCTACGCCTCTGGTCCCCAACGTCCAGGAAACATGCTTGATATTGTCTCTGAAATCAGCGTGCAAAGCCGATACATCGGGTCCTGTTTCCGTCAATTTTTTTTTTAAAAGTAAGAGTTAGTTTGGCAGTGCTCTCTTCGTATTTGGGAAACCAGGATCTAGTGTCCGTGTAGCAGTTTCTACCACGTGTCTATTCTGTTTTAGGTTCTGGCACTTTACCCTGTTATCGTCGGGCATTCGTGCCGTCTGTACATTGTCCGTGACTTGTGTTTCTGTTTGGGACTTGGCTGCCTCGGTTTATGGCCAATGAGTTACCATGTCTTTTATTGTACCAATCTAAATGGGTTGTCTGTGCTTCATACTTCAAATCTCTAGAGCAAATCTTTAATCGGAGAAAATTATGACTTCTAGTCCCATTATTTCTCACTCCTATAGCATAGTGTGCACACTTTCCCGTGCCCGGTGTATATAGCCTCTAGCACCAAGTATTTATTCGACTCTGAGAGAACCTCGTTTTGTGACTTTCCAATCAATATAAGATGGCTTTTTTCAGATTAATATTACTTTCCAATTTTGTCCAGGGAACCCTTTCCGGTTAAGACAGCCCCCAAATGGCTATTCATTACAAATATTAAATAATTCAACGGTAATATGAGTTTTGCTTACATATACTTTGATAGTAAAATTAATATTAAATTCCTAATACTTTTTTAAGGTGATACTTTTTGCGGAAAGAGGAGGTGGGCATGTTCAACAAATGAAGGCAAGCAATAATTTTTTTTTAACTCAGCTTAATGTAAGACCAGTGTTTCCCGACATGTTCATGGTTTTTGGGAGGGGGGGGGGGGGGTGGTGGAAGGCCGGCAGTAAAAATTAGTATTTTATTTTTCAATTTAATCTGATAATATGTGACAATTTTTGTATAACACAAATACAATTTATTCTTTCTTCATTTCAATTATGAATAAATAGTTTATTTTTTTAAAGTTTAGATGTAAGATAAACAAGCACAAAGTTTTTTTCTTTCAATGGGAAAGGGGCTTAGAGTCTAGTTAAATTTTAAAAATGAAATATAGCATACGACAACAGCGACACTGAAAGGAGTAAATGTTAATGGAAGACAGAAAAGGGGGGGGGGGCGCATCAAATCAGGTTGTCATTGTGGCTTTTTGCACCGAAACAAAGTGCGAACAGATCAGTGTGCATAAGTCAGGTTGCTATCATGGCTGTTCGCACCAGATCAAGCTGCGAACAGAGCTTTTGCATCAAGTCACTATGCCAACAGATGCCATTTCCAACAGTTCCGGACGTCACAAGGAGGGGCAGTGTCCAATTATAGCCATTGTGAATGTTGTATAGGTGGCATCAAACCTATTGACTCTTTTCCAATACCGTAGGATTATTGCCATAAATTAACTCACGTTTAATTTATGTCCCTGAAATTCGATTAAATTACAAAGATCCATCTCTTACCTAACTTTTTTTAACAGATATGGGTGACTTAAAAAACATTTCAAAACTACTTAATTTTAATTCTTAAATAAGAAATCCTTTCTAAATATTGTTTTCAATGCTTTTTACAGGATCTAGTCTACTTGGAGGCGGATATGTGATGTCTGGTAAGTTATAAATGATTATAATGTAGTCTTTTTGGATGACGCTATGCTATGTCTGGTAAGTTTTATAAAATTACCCTGTGTACTTGGATGCGTCTATGGGATATCTAGGAAAGTTAAACCAAATTATCTAGTCTACTTGGAGGTTGCTATGCTATGTCTGTTAATTTATTCATACATTATCTATTCTACTTGGAGGTGGCTGTGTTATGCCTTTTAAGTTATATATAAATTATCTAGTCTAATCGAGATGATATGCTATGTCTGGTTCAGTTATATTGAATTTATATTGTCTACGAGCAGGCGGATATGTTTCGTATGGTAAGTTGTATACATAAATACTCATCATTCTTGCAAAGTTCATTGCACGTGTCGGCAGCGTCTACAACTACTTAGGAGAGTTGAGGGATGGGGGGAATGTGGAAGTATGGTGTTGGAAAATGTAACAGGAAAGGCCTACTGCTACTTCAGACCTGTGTTGAATATTGCCTTCTAATCACAGACATACCTATCAGGCTCTCTACGCGCAACAGGACCACCTGGATGTCCACCCGTCACTTAACAGATTATGCCATCGTCAGAAACTGGGACCTGCAGGATTTAACAGTGACTAAGGCCATTTGCTGTGCAGAATGCTAAACTGACCACCGCCTAATCGCTTCAAATATGAACATTCACATCCAACCCAAGAGATGACCTCAGGCCACCAACGCTCAAAAAACGCCTCAGAATCAGTAGGCTAAAGATCTCTGATGTGAGACAAACCATTGTTGGCACCCTGGATGAATGGCTTGGTACCTTCATACTGGCCAACCAGTTCGCGGAAGCAGTGTGGACCACACTTCGTATAGCAAAGTCGTTAAGTGCCTCAGACCCTCTACCAGGAAACACAAGCAATTGGTTTGATGAAAACAACACAGCGATCCAAATGCTACTTGAGCAAAAAGGTTTGTTGTACAAATTCCTCAATAATGACACAATAACAACAACTAAAACGGCTGCATTGAGGATTATCCACAGCAAGATCCAGTTGCAATTGTGTCAGATGCAAGAGTCCTAGCTGAGTGCGAAAGCTGATGAGATTCAGGGCAAGAATGACACGAAAAACGTCTACCGTGACTTGAGAGAATCTTATGGCGTTAAAACCTCAGGCGATTCCCCTCTCCTTAGTGCAGACGGTTATACACATCATGACAGACAAGGAGTGAAACTTGGAAAAATGGGTGGAACAATTTGATAATGTGCTAAATACACTTTCCATCATTATAAAATGCCCCGGTTCCCATCGAGCAAGTCTATTTGACTCTGTCAAAACTTAGGTCGAGATTCAGACAACCATCCGCAAAACACCTGGCCCCGACATGATTCCTGCCAAAATCTACAAAGAGGGTGGAACACCTCTGACTTATAAGCTTTTGCAACTATTCCAGATCACCAGGGAAATGGAAACTGTATCATAGGACCTCAAAGATGTCCCAATTATCCACATGTACAAATAGAAAGAAACCGTCAGGCTTGCGACAATCACCGCGGCATATCGCTGCTATCCATCATGTGCAAGATCTTGGCTCAAGCGTTTTTGAACCGCTTGAATGCAAATCTAAAGATAGATCTCCAAAACGAAAGTCAATGCAGTTTCCACAAAGAACGTGGAACTATCGATATGGATTTTGCTGCCAGGCAGCTTAAAGGGCATTGTCAGGCGCTAAATACGTATCTAAATTCCACATATATTGATCTTAATAAAGCTTTTGACAGGGTCAATAGAGGTTAACTGTGCAAAATCAGGAAGAAGTACGGATGCCAGACAAGTTCACTAAATTCATCCTTCAAATGCATGATAGCATGATGGCCCGAGGGCTGGGCAACGGCAATTCTTCTGAAGCATTCCCTTTCACAAACGGTGTGAAACAGGGCTGTGCCCTGGATTCCAGACACTTCATTGTTATGTATTCTGCAATGCTATCTGATGCGTTCAAGGACTCCACTAATAGAAAACTTCTGAGAGTCATCTAGACTCGCATGTTCTACACTCTCTTAGCTTTGACTAGAAAATTTCTGAGAGTCATCTAGACTCGCATGTTCTACACTCTCTTAGCCTTGACTAGAAAACTTCTGAGAGTCATCTAGACTCGCATGTTCTATACTATCTTAGCTTTGACTAGAAAACATCTGACAGACATCTCGACTCGCATGTTCTACCCTCTCTTAGCTTTGACTAGAAAACTTCTGAGAGTCATCTAGACTCGCATGTTCTACACTCTCTTAGCTTTGACTAGAAAACTTCTGAGAGTCATCTAGACTCGCATGTTCTACACTCTCTTAGCTTTTTCTTAGCTTTGACTAGAAAACTTCTGAGAGTCATCTAGACTCGCATGTTCTACACTCTCTTAGCTTTGACTAGAAAACTTCTGAGAGTCATCTAGACTCGCATGTTCTACACTCTCTTAGCTTTGACAAGAAAACTTCTGATAAACATCTTGACTCGCACGTTGTTCACTTTCTCACTTTTGACAAGAAAACTTTTGATAGAAATCTCGACTTGCACGTTCTACAAATTCTTGACTTTGACTATACCATTTCTGATAGACATCTGTTTATAAAAAGTCCTTTCAACTTTTTTTCGTTATTATTTACTTTGCCCATGTCCAGTCAGGCATTCTATACAATGCATAGGCAGTTGGTTTTAATGTCATCATGTAATTCACATTGTGGAATGCAATTCATCTTAGATAAGGCAAACTCTTGAAATTAAATCAAAACCTGGAGTTAGAGTCCAGTAGGTCGTTTAACTCAATGAAAATTCCGACAACTTCTGAAACGTAGAACGAATAAAGTGCACAGGTCATCTATTGCCTCCTGTACTATTTCCAGTCATCCTGACTAAAATTAAGCCATCGGAACAAATAGTGAAGGAAGACAGCGTGACACTGGCGAATTGAGCAGCACAAGTCAATGCTACTACTCAAGTTGAAGCATTGGTTATCTTCGAATTCCAAGAAGGAACTATATTTATGTATATTTCATAACCTGACCGGCATTACCAGACACTCTATAGAATGCCTAAGCAACATGTTTACTTTCTCATATTATTCACACCTTGACCAGTGTGAATAGACATTGCATTGAATTCCTGCATTACAAGCTTCGTCTGTAATATGTACATTTGGCAAAATGTTTGCCTGTGGCAATAGACACTTTCTCAACCCAAGGGACAATACAATAGATTCCCGGTTTCAAAAGAATAAAAAATGTTTTGCTTCTTAATGTTCATTAAACTCTCTTATTTTTATACAAACGTTTTCAACCGTTTCCCAATTCCACAGGTATCGCCATCATCTTCACTGCTTTGTTCTTCACCGTCCCTTCGCTGTTTCCCTATGGCCAATGACATCAACCACATCGGATGAAGCCTTGAAACTAAACGCTTAAAAACATCAACAACAAAAAAAAAAAAAAAACACAAAAATTCGCTTTACGAAAAATTAGAAATATTCATCATAAGCATATGCAAAGAAAATATATAAAAAAAATTAATAAATAAATTCAGTTCTTGAAAATAGTATTAAAACGCTGTATAATACTATTTAAAAAAGCAACAATTGAATCGTGTAGTATACGTATGAATTTTTTAAAAAGTGTAATAACAACAGTTTAAAAATAAGAATAATATAAATTAGCCATAAACAGAAGTGTACTATTTCAATTAATAAAATCAGTTTAAATGCATTTTTGTGTCTTGAGTTTTCATTTTCTATACAGAACTTTATTGAACTCATTTTTTTGTTTTTGTTTTTTTTATTTATTTATTTAGTCATTTTTATATAGCGCTTACCTTAGAGCTCTAAGCGCTTTACAATTATTAAAAACATGTAAACTAAGTAAAATAAAAGTGAGACATTAGGATAGTAACTACTAGACTATAGAAACAATGAAAATGGCTATAAAACGAGGACACCATCCAAACATACACCCATCCGTACAAGCATACATGTACATATGCTTCCATACATACAGACAGACAGTCATACAGACACACAGACATTCACATAAATACATACATATGCACATACATACACAAACAGACCGACCACACACACACATACACACAAAAGACAGACATACAGACAGAACAATTTTGTAGAAGTGCAAAAATAAAATGTTTCTGCTAAAATGTTTATTTATTATTGATATAACTTACACATAAATTTAAAATAACAATTATGTAACTATTATAAGCATTTTATTTGCATTTGCAAGATAGGAAAACAAATATTATCAAAGAATTACACCGTATCACATTTATCGGGAAAAACCAAACATTAGTAAGTTTTGTGGGTTTTTTAGTTCATTGTTGATATTGCGAAAGAAGATTAAAATTATTTTTTGATAAATAAACATGCAAATGACGTCATAGAGCGAATTGCCCTTTTAGCCAAAGCTTTAAGTACTTTTATTTTATAACCGCGCGTGACAAACTGACAATATATTTTCACCTTCTTAAAAGTAAAATTAATACATTTTGATTGATTTTTAGATTCTAAAAAAACAAAAAACACAAATAAAGGTTAGTTTTGTGTTTTTAAGAAAATGTCGTTTAAGTCAATCAGTGCAGCGAAAATACAAAGCCATATAGCATTCACCAATGCACATATAACTCATCCAAATAAGAAAAAAAACGTATGAAGAGCAAATGCAATAAAATATGTGATTGCGTATGGAGAGGAATACAATCTGTTGGAAGATAATTCATTTTTCCCCAGGCAGCATAAGATATGTCTCAGAATAAAGGAGTGAATATGATAAATACTTAACCATCTATAGGTACATGCATATCGGGGGTAGGAAAAAGGGTGTGTACATTTTTACGTGGATGGCAGTATATTTAAATCCTATGGTATTACATTTGTAAAAAAAGAGAGATTGTCAGGGTTTCTTTCAGGCATACCTTCCGGAGCAAGCCAAGTGCCCCCACGGGGGGGGGGGGGGGAAGGGGAGGGGGGGAAGGTGTAAGAAAACAATAATTTTTAAATAAAAATTAATAATCAAAAAAAAATTATAACATTTTTAAAAGTAATATAAATTATGGTATTACATTTGTAAAAAAAGAGAGATTGTCAGGGTTTCTTTCAGGCATACCTTCCGGAGCAAGCCAAGTGCCCCCACGGGGGGGGGGGGAGGAAGGGGGGGGGGGGAATGTGTAAGAAAACAATAATTTTTAAATAAAAATTAATAATCTAAAAAAAATTATAACATTTTTAAAAGTAATATAAATGTTTGCCTTTCGTCGATTACAATTAATGGAACCAGTAAAATATCGCTTGTTCGATATATATTGATGATCCATAGCGTTCAGGTTAATCTTGTTAAAGGCTCACATAATTCGATTATAAATATCGTAGTGTTCTCAAAATTGGCTGCTCCTGATTATGAGCTAAAATTTTACTTTTTCTTATTCGTATTTATTGGTATTTGTATTTGTTTATATTTTGAAGCACAACTTTAAGCCCCTTAAAAATACGAGGCCCCATGCACCTATACGGGTGGCAGACCTCACACGATGAAGTGACACCTAAAATCTTAAATAGTATCTCTCCCGTTAATCTCCAGTTAGTGTACAATGATGTAAAGCTATATTTAACTGTGTTCAAAAATCCATTCTTTCATTTTGAATTTATCAAATATTTTCCGGGGCCTACAAAGTTTTAAAGGGCGAGTCTAAGCTAGGGAGGGCGTGTCTACGCTAAGGAGGGCATGTCTACGCTAGGGAGTATCTCTCGACAAAAAAGCAAAGCCTTAAGGCTCCCAACTGGAATGAATTTAGTTAATATTGGGCTGTTGGAAGAGTTAGTGATGTCCTATTAATCTGGCTATTTCTAGCGCTTCCCACACAAAAGTCTGAAATATCTTCATCAGTGGCGCCTAATCCCAAGTAGGCTATGTGTAGGGCTCTGGCCTGCTCCACCACATTTTTTTTTCATTTGGATCGATCCATCGCTTTCCGCCTCCATGCACGAACCCCCAACCTTTGTAAGTCTTTCTCTAAATTGTCAATCCTTCTCAGTCTTGGTCGGTCGGTGAGCCATCTGCCCCTAGGTTTCTACATGTCGATCGTTTTTGCTGCTATAGAATCCGGCATTCTTTCAATGTGTCCTGTCCAGGGCAGTCCGCCATTTTTATTCTATGGACAATGGATGGGTATTTGTACAATTGATATAGCTTTGGTTTTTACGGATTCTCAAATCAAAATTGTCTGTCATGGGGCCATATATTGAGCAGGTTTTGGGTTTTCTGGTTGGAACCAAGTCTCACTTGCTTAAGTTACTACTGTTCTTATGGTAGTGGTGCATATTGCTCTTTGTTCCCCTAGAAAGGTTTTCGCTCCGTAGTAGCTTTTGTAAGTTGAAATACGAACTGTTGCATGCTATTTTCCTTTCTTTCACCTCCGATTGTGTCTCCTTTACTTATTTATAGTCACCCCTAGATATTTGAAAGTAGCTACTCTCTCAAATATGTGGCTTTTCATATATATTGATGTTGTTATCAGTGTGCGTATTTCCTGACATTATCATAAAATAATATCTATTGCCCTCGATTTATTTACATCAAGACCATCTGTGATCTTGACATCTTCAAGTTCCCTGAAATTTTTAATTATAACATTGCTGTTCCTACGATATGCTATATCGTCTGTGAATGCCAGGTATTGCAGTGGCTGGCTTTAAAAAGTTTCTGTTGGTTGCTCTGTACTACCTCTCTGGTGCTCACACGTATGTTTCTAACTGGATTTTGAAAAGGATACATGGATTTGCTTGTCTGAGGCCCTGAATAATTGGGACTCCGTCGAGTACTATCTCTGTACTTTGATTCTAATTTTCGAGCTAGCCATCGTCGTATGTATGAGTCGGATAAGTTTGTTAGGGACTCCAAGTTCCAGGAGAGCATCGTACAGGTATTTCCTGTAAATGCTATCATAAGTTGATTTTTGGTCCACATATATTTTGTGTATGTTGATGTATTCTTAGCATTTCTCCACGAGATATCTGATAGTGAATAAATGAAAGTCTAAAATGACCCGTCACACATTGTCTGAAAGATACACTGAATTTGCACCACAATGCATTTTGAATTTATTATTTTTACTCAAGACTCTTCAGATTCCTCAATTTTTTTCTACTTCCTTCCTTGACTCCGATCAGTGTGACTTAACGTGGTTAAATCTAATCTTGTTTCAAATGATTATCTAGAGTGCAGCACAAACAAAATGAAATTATTTTATATATGGCACTGAGCGCCATAATGCCTCCACTGACGCTTGAAAAATTAATTTCCCTAATCAAATATAGTCTTTTGGAGTATATCATGTATCCTCCAAAATGACCACATTGATTGCTAAACAATCACAAATTTTCTGGTTAGGAAAAGCCATTGGGGTGCTCGATTTCCGCCATAATTCCCGATAACAATGACAACCAATTATGGTGCTGATATATACACTGCCCAGCGGCGTGCCTAGTTTTAGCGCCAGTCTCGGTAGGTTAACTTTTTTGCCGTGCCACCTTTCTTGATAGAAACTCTGATATTGTCCGAAAATCCCGCCACTCAATCGAAAGGGAAAAAAATGACACACGGGAAGACCAAATATTCCCCCCCCCCTTTTTCTACGTCACCGACGTGAGTCTTTGGTGCCAGAGGAAATATTCATTTTTACTCCCCCCCCCCTTTTTTTTTTCGCTAAACTCTGAAACCCATTATTTTCATCCATTAACACTGTAGCCGTATAGATCATTAGCTTCCCCCGCTAGTTTGGCGCCTGGGTACATATGCCCCCAATGCCCCCCTTAGCTACCCCCTTTTCCCCCTGGCCCTGCCCCCCCCCCCCGAAAATCTAAAGTGCCCCCTCCCTTCCCCGGGGAAAATTTTCTGAAAAAACTCTGGAGATATTACATTCTCTTTTTACAAATAATCATATTATGTTTAGAAATTTAAAAAAAAAAAAAATACGGAGTTAACAAAAAAAGTCGGCACTTTTCCATAAGTATCAAAACCCAATCATTTTACACACTCAAAAATGGTAGTTTGAAACATGGAGGTGGGATAATACTTTCTTTCAAAACATGAAAATACATTTCGGTTTTTACTTTGCGAAAAGTAAAGCGGATGTGTCTATATTTATGAGATTAACAACTTTAAAAAAAAAAAAAAAGAAAAAAGACAGTCAAGTCTTTTATAGACTTGAAAAACGGTTGCGAGATTCTTCTTAACATGAACGATTTCTTTGTTTTACGATTTTACGACAATGTCTAATTAAAAAAACAAAAACAACAACAACAACGCCAAATTTGCTTAAATTTCTGATGTTGATATCAACTCATCAAATTCCGTTCATGGAAAATATATGTATAGAGTTTTTGTTGTAAAGTTATGAAGACAAAAAAATGTAGTTCAAGGGAACAAAAAGGTCTATGG